GAAAATTAGTAAATAATATAAGTGAATGTGACGGGATTGTTGAGGAGAGTGATTGAAAGGTTCCACTGAGTCTCCAAATATAATTTTTTTTTAGTTTTTTGAAAATAAAAGCAGAAATAGAAAGGGAAGGGAAGGAAAGAAGAAAAAATTCTACAAAAAGAGTAAAAAAAAAAAAAACGATAAAATTTTGTTCTTTTCTTTAAATTTTTTTTTAAACCCATCATTTATTGCTTCTGTTACTGCATCAGTTGCAGTTTTATTACAGTTGCAACAGACAGCATTTTTAACCGTTTCACTACCGGTACTGTTACTGTTACTGTTGCTGTTGTTGTTGATGACGGTGTCAACGAGATGTTAAAATAGCAGTTGCTCAGAAAAGAAGAACAGTAATTTGTATTGGTGCAACTTAGCAACAAATAACTGAAAAAATACATATTTTTCTTTTTGAAAAGATCAAAAATCTTTTCAGTATTTTACTGATGATATATTCTGTCGATTTTATTTTGTTTTCTGATCTTATTTTCATCACTGTTGTCTCGATAGTTCTTTGGGGTATAAATGCGGTTATAAATCGGATGATAAAACTGTTGCTATGGTATCGTTAACCAAAATAATATATTGAATCGTCGTCATTTAGTGAATCTTATTAATTGTAGTGAAATTGCTTTTTATCTTTAGGATGTTTAGGAGGGGAGGGGAGGAAATGAAACTGGATAGGAGAAGAAGTAAGGTAATAAAAAAAAATTATGAAAATTTTTCAACCATTAAAGTTAATTTGGAAGCTTGTTAAAAGTTTGAACAAGTATTAACACAGAAACACTTATTAAAGTGTTGTATGTTTGAGGGGACATGCTGTCAGGTTTGGTTCAGCTGTTAACTCAAATTTAGTGACATCTACCAAGCTACAGTGATTATTCTTTAATGTGTTTTAATGATTTTGGAATACTGTCAAGTTGCTGCTTGTCGGAAAGAAAAGGAATGGAAATTTTTTTATGCGTTTACACTGCTACTGTATTATATAGCCAAATATTTGTGAAATTGAAAAAGAAATTGAGTAATAAAGAAAAACAGCAACAAAAAAATAGGAAAACAAAGTTGAGTTATTGATTCTATGAAATCAGTATCAGTGATCCAGAAAAAAATTTAAAGAAAACAGACCTTAGCAACAAGGAGTATATTTAAATGCTGATATAAAGAAATGCTCAAAATAAAAACATTGCGGAAGACAGAAAAAAAGTAAGGACAGTAAATGAAACTTTTTGTAGAAAAAGAATATAATTTTTTTAAGCTTCTTTTTACTCTGTATTGCACAATTTCTTTTTTTCTATATTGGTGCCTTTAGCGATGTTGTTGGAAAATAATCGCTTGATACTAACCTGCGATAAAAAGCTTTAATTTTGAGTAAATGAAATGCAACGTTTACCGACAAAGTATTGGCGAATGTCGACTTACACTACGAAGGTAGTAATATCGTCTACTTTTTTTCTCTTTTTATTTCTCTTCTTAATCGTTTTTCGAATATTTGTCTAGAAACCGTGAAGAAGATAAAAAATGAAAATTTAGTATTTAAATATAAAAAAATTACTATTTTTCTTTTTTTCAACTTTTTACATTTGCTCAGTATTGCAATAAGTGGAGAAGTAGGAAGAAGAACATTGGGAATCTGGTAGTCATTTGGATGAAACATGTATTTTGTCAGAAAAGCTGTGAATGGAAGACAGGGAAATAAAAGGGTTCTAGCTTATGTAGTCTTCTGTATACTGTCTTTATTGTACCGAAGTTGAATTGGCTGCCTTTTTTTTTCTTTATTTGCTGGTAAATAATCTCAAAATCACTTGTTAAAATGTCACCTGAATCTTGTTGGAAATGTCGTAGGATGGGTGCATAAATTGGGATTATTGTCTAGAAATTGGTTTATTGCAGAATGAATGGGTTTAGTTTTCTTTGTAATTTGTTGTCGCCATAAACTTCAGCAGTGCTTCAACAAAAGTCTGTGGTGGTGTGAAGGCAGTTTCAGTTAAAACCGGATAAACAAAGGGATCATGAGAGCACCTAGCAAAAAGTCAAATTCATACTTTGTTTTTTTTAACTTTATTGTTTATGGATTTTGTGTTGAAAATTAGTTTAGTCAGTAAACTAATAGTCTGTGGCTAAGTGTAGATCAAATTTTTTTTGATTTTTTCTTCACTAACTTGGCTGTGGAATTTTTGATAAACAGTATGTTACTCATTAATCGTTTACTCAGTTCGGTAGTTTAGTGATAGATAGTGCAATGTTTAAAATTGTGCTGAGTAGTAGTTTGCTACAAGTTGAAAAAAAAAAAATTGACCTTATGTAAACTAACGCACAAATTCCTAAAATTACTGTTTATTGTAATTGTTCGGCGATATTATTATCAGTCTATGGATAGTTGGAAAATTCAAGTCATTGGCAATTGAAGGGTGGGGTTGTGTGAAACGTTTTGAACTTATAATCATGCAACATTAAAGTTTATTTTTTTTCTTCAATTAACTTGAAATTTTGTTGAACTTTGTGGATAACGGCAGAAAAAGAAAAAAGAACACCTGGCTCTTTTTAAATGTCAAATGTTATTCAGCATATAAATGTAGTAAAGCTGTTTTGTGAAAGTTATTCAGGATTGGTCGACATTTGATTTTGCTGTTTGTATTTGGTTTGGCAAATGAGTAACAATTCAGCAGTGTACCAGATGAAACAATAAGTTGTTGGTGCTCAAAAAAAGCATACTGAAGGAAAAAAAAAAAAGGTGGAAAGGAAAGAAAAATGACTTTTAAATTTTCTTTTTTTTTTTTTTTTTTTTTTTTTTTTT